ATACATTTTTAACAATGTCAATATATATTTACATAAAACATTTTATAACACGATATGATTAACTTGAAATTATTTTTACCAATAGAGATAGATAAATAAAAATCTAAGTATAATGAGTTATGAATAATCAGCGTTTGGACATCACCAGATGAAATACACAAAAGGTACAGAGATTCTTTGAAGGATATAACTGGAGAATCAACAAATCTGAGCATGAACTTTTCACAATATCTATGCAAGAATCGGAAAGTGTTTTTGTTTGAAGAAAGGGAAATGAAACTTATTATCTGTTTCTACATGACTGCTCACCACTTGTCCTAATCGAACTTGTAGAATCTAGTTGTTTTAGAAATATTTCACTTCAAGCTGATGTCTAGATAGCCATGTGAATCTGTGAATACAATGAGATGCGATGCAATTGCTTTCTACAGTTTTGAATAAAAACCTGCTATCATACTTAACAAACACAATAAAACCCAATTGAAGATTTTGTTTGTAACATAGTTTCTTTAAATGCCATGACTTAATTCACCCGTCGTCGTCCGCCCCCCCCCCCGCCACAGGTGACAGTGATAAAAGAAGTTTTTCTTAGGTATGCAATACAGTAAAGGTTACAAGGTAGCATTAATAAAGTAATTGTTTTGTTTTATCATTATTAGAAATCACTTAAGTTTACCAAGATACATTGAACAACGTGTTACAAAATACTAAAAAAAGGCTCTAAATGTTTAACTAACTTATAATTGAACATTTACAGCATCATATGAATAATAATAATAATAATAGTAATAATAAAATAGCTATTTCTATGATGATTTGATAATATTGGTAATACATATATGGAGAAATAATAGGATCAAGATAATAAGTAAAGAAATTTCAGCAACATCATAGTACGACAGATCTGAAAAATGTTTCTTTTTCAAGATGCACCAAAATATGAACTACACAAAACTATGGAAATCACGTGAAGTATATCGACATAACACGTGAATATGTTGTATTTATGCATACATTAAAACAAAGAATTAATTTGAAAATATCAGAGAGAAAATAGGAAGTACCATCCAATGAATTGATCATGTATATACACACATAAAGGTAAATGTTGGGAAAATTAGAATAAATTAATAGTGTCAGTAGTATATCAGACGTGCAGATTGGTGTTTGTTGATGATTGTAATTTTAAATATATAAATATACACACACATGTGTATATGATTTATAGTGCAAAAATGTCAATTGCAAATAACAAGGAAGTAGAAATAGTATAGTCTTTCGGATACAAAATTAATCAATTTATTGAAATCAAAAAAAAAAAAGAAAAACATTAGCCCCTAAAAAACACCATTCTAGGCAAAACATTAATTTGAATAAAAGTTATTTAGTTTATAAATTATCTTTTTTTAATTAATTTTTCCATGTTGGTCAATCAAATTTTTCTTCTCCTTTGATGATATTGATTAGAAAGTTAGAAATTCAAACTCGTGAAATATTAGATAAAATCTTTAGTTATTGCTTTATATTTATTTGTGTTATAAAATAATTACGTATTGAATATTTTATAAATTGTATGCTTTCTTTTGACTATTTCTCAATTATGAAATGTTATTGTTACATTTAGAGACATATATGGATGAACAATATCCAATATATTTTGCATATAGTCATTCAACAGGAGGTAAATCATTAATCATTTTAATAGTTTATTGTAGTTTAACAGTATTCATTGGTAAAAAAATGAGAATTTTATCATTTATTTTTCATTATAGAGGTTGAAATTATAGGTTGATCAAGACCACCACTTCAATCAATCCACGGTATTGAGCGACCTCACCCATTGTCTTCGGTAGGTAACTGCCTCACACATCCGATAGGGCTGAACTGCGCTGATCACGGCTGATAAATCCCTTACTAGGATGGAACGGCTATCCAGTGCTTCTAGATTTATAATGGTGGCCTAATAATGATCGATTCATAATTTCAATGAAATTATTGATTTGTTGATAAATTGACAAAAATCATAATATTGAAATAAACTTATTTAATAGGTGGATTTTTCATGCATTAAAGTAAGTTAGAACAAAAACATGGTGGTACATAGTACTTAGGCTATCGATTTGTAAACTACTAACATGTTTTTATTTTTAAATTAACTAAGACATGATATTGATACGTATTAAGTTATGAATCATATTGTAAACATTGTATTAATTGTAAAAATAGGAAACATTATACTTATCATTTCTTCAGGTTTTCAAGTAAATGAAACAGAAGCAAATGGATTTCAGCTGTAATTTGAAGTTATATTCTCAAACAGTTGAACCATATTAGATCAGTGATATAACTAACAAACTGAACATTTCAATGTTGGATAAAAGAGAATAAAAATTATATGAATTAGTTAATATTTTAAGTTGTAAATTTAAATCACTTATGTTTCATGTAAAAGTTTGACAATTAGTAAAGTAAATGAATTTTTATTCTTGAATTCATTGATTAGTTTTAACGGATTAGTGTTTAAACTTTTGATTCAAAGCATTTTCGGGTCATTTTCACAGGCGAAGTCACGAACTGACCTTAACTAGGTCACCAGTGAAAACTTTAAAGCACTGAACGATCATTTCTTCCTAGTATGGGTCTCCTTAAGAGTGCTAATCTACAATCGTGCATGTCGGATTCTGAACCAGGACCAATGACCTAGCGCACGAACACGTAACCTCTAGACTAATTGTATTAATATTTAATATCAACTGTGAGAATAACAAAATCTCCACAAATCCCCTGCACAAATGACAATTATGTGCCCATTAATGACTGGCTTCAAGATGTATTGCTGTGTTTTAATGAAAAGCCATGATCAGTAGAGTTCAGTCCGTGTCAAGTATCAGACAGCTATCCGCCGCAAACAATGAATGAAGGCTCAGCGAGATCACAGATTGATTAAAGTTTTGTTACCAGCTTAGTGACCTAGGGACCAAGCGTACGCACTCCAGGCCGATGATCTTGGAATCGACTGCTTCCTGCGGGGCCATGTATGCACACTGTTGATGAGCATTCCATACTAGAACGAAATGGCCGTCTAATAAATCCAAATTTTCAACGATGATCCAGCTAAGATCAGCGGGTGGTTTCACTTGTAAAAATAATACAATCTCCACAAACCCTATTTATTGATTTTAAAGTTAGTCGGAAATCTTTGATTTATATAGTTTTTTCATTATTTGTTATTATTATTATTAATTCAGATCAGATTGTTGAATGAAACGTTACGACTGTTGACATTTTAACCGTTAAGATTATTTTAAATATAACTTTACATATAATGTCTACATATCGTCAATTCTTAAATTATTTTTATGAAACTTTATTTTCTAGTAAAATAAGGAAACCCAAAAAGCGCATGGGCAAAACAAACAAAGAGGCACTATTGTGAAATAACAGAAGATGGAAGGCCAGTACTGTCAAAAAATAAATCAATAAGTGAACAAGAATACTGCAGAATAAAAGGTAGATTTCCGTTCACAAAACAGCTGAAACCTCTTTCACAATAGTTGGGCACCAAGTTAATGTAAGACATTAAGAAGGAATATTATGTTTGTAAAGATTTCGGTGGCTGAAATTTCAGTTAATTCAACGTTTGGTTCGACTATTTTTGATCCAAGAGTTTTCAAGGAAGTATTTCAAAGCTCCCTTTCAGTTAGGGTAGTTTGTCATACTTTTATGAAGACTGTAAAAGAAAACTACAACAAGATATTCATTGGCTTTGATTCTAATCCATGTTGGTTAGCTTCTCAAGTCTTCTCAAGACTATCTCTAGGACCCTAACTGGAAAGTCGTGATGTACTGGCAAATGCCAAATCTAGATGACTTCCTTTTATGTAATGTCGTTAAATAACCACTGCTTTGCTTTTTCCACCTAGTGCCCAGAGTCAGGAAACAATAATCAATGTGGGAATTAATTAGCTAAGGAGTTTTTAATTTACTAACAAAACGGGTCTATATTGTTGATAAGAAATCCCACAATAGTCAAATGTCATCAACAGCATTCGACTGTTGGTTTATTAAATACATTAGATGATCTTTAACATGAAGAAACCACTGAAACTTCTAGAAGCTTTATTTGAACTAAGAATGTGATACTTCTCTGTTTCTGCATAGTAAGTGAACACATTATAATTATGGAATTCATTATGATGGGAGACATAAAATTTCAAATCAGATCTTTTATTTAACGATGATTATTAGGTATGAATGGTGATTTTCATTATGAGCTTTCATAAATCCAAAATCTATTGAAAATTGTGACAGATGAAATCACGATTCATTCTATAATTTGAGACCACTGAAACTTAATTGATATTCCAAGAAAACATACTTTCTTGTTGAGAATCATTTATTGAAAAAAAAACTTTATATTGTATGATTGGAATTCTATACATTGGATAGCCATGGTAAATTCGTTAATTAATTAATCGAACTAAGTAACCAGATATGCAGACTCATGCACTTGATGGTAAGAAAAATAATTTAACGTCTAATACTACTCCATCTGACTATTCAAAAACTGAATTCAATAGAACATGATGCCTAGAAAAACATCCAAAGTAGTAGTCATGTTGAATGTTGAGCAAAAGTATCATGCATCGTTCATCATTTAAACTAAACAATTAGAATAAATTTTTACCTTTTTTAACTATTTCATTGTTAAAACTACTATATATTAATGAAATTTCGAGAGAATAAAACAAAGAATGAAGTGAAGAGAATTTGAAGCAATTCATTAAAATAAAACAACTATCGACAAAATGGGTAACTGAGAGTATGATAATGAAATCTTGTCTGTTTCTTGATATCTGTACTCAACATTAAATAGAAAGATAGTGAAAACTGATAAGTTAAGATATAATCAAATGATCGAATACTAGCCACTGATTATATTCACACACACAAATAAAGGGTGATAATAACATCAATGGAAAATATGATTAATAACTCACTGTATGATTGAATAGAATTGATTGAACTAAACAATAAATAAAATCACTCATATTTTGATTGGAATTAGTGAGTAACGTTTCAAAATCCGGCAGTAGACTAGGTTCATTCATAGATGAAAGATTGGATGAGGTTCTGTTTGATTGTGAATTTAAATTGAGTGACTGATCATTATTATAAGATAAATAATCCGTACCTGAAATTGTATTCGATGTAACTGTTGATATTGTTGGTAGTTGAGCTGTGGAATCAGATATACTATGAGTATTGTCACTTAATAATACCGGTGTATTTCTTGTATTCTTTGGAGATATTGGATGTGAAACAGTAGATGATGGTAACGAAGAAGTAACATTACGTAATAATTGTAATAGTTGAGCATTTGATGTTCGTCCAGTAGGAACTAGAGATGGTTTTAAAAAGTTCTGATGATTTTGATGAGCTGATAAATTGGATGCTACATTTGATAGTAGACTAGTTAATCCATGATTAGGTATAGTTGGAGGTGGTTGAATCATATTATTTGATGGTATACAACAAGCTGGATTACTCATACTGTTCATTATATCCAATTTCAATGGGTCAATATGATTAGATGTTACTGTCAAACAACTAGTAGTATTTGTATTTGTAATGTTAGTAGATGTATTACTGCTGTTAGTTGAAGTAATTGTAGTAGCTGGTGAATGTAGATACATAGCATGTAACCTGTGAACTCCGCCAGTTTCAAATGTAATCCAATCAATAAATTAATGGATGAACAAGGGAAATAATCAAATAGTTAGTGAATTAGTTCTTATTCTTGCATTTCGTACACTGTAATCATAAATAATTGAGGTAATAGAATAAAACTTAATCAATAACTATGATATTACGTTGAATATATAATTGGTATTATAGGTTTATAGAACAATATAGTGGATTTGTATTTATATGTACGAGTTTTTAGAAAAAAAAACTGACACCGTCAACAACAACTCGTGAAAATCCGTGCTTTCCTTTGATTATATCTATCTAAAAATTAATATTTTGAATTAAGAAAAAAAAGACCAATTAATGATAACCATCTATCCAAGCATAAAAATGAAAGAATAAACGTGAAGTAATCGATTATTGAGTCATTCACTAAGTAAAATAAACCAACGAAATACAAAACTCAGGTGAAAAGTATATGCAGAGAGAGAGAGAGAGAAAGAGAGAAAAAAAAAGTAAACTAACAAACCATATGAGAAAAATGTGGTTTGTGAAGCGTAAGAGAGAGAAAAGATCAAAAGTGCATAACACTTCAATTATGCATTGCTTCAAAAACAAAAAAACCTACCTACCTACCTAAAGGTTCATATGATCTTTTCGGATCATCTGAGATGGGCATGCTTTTAGTACATACGAGTGTCTATATATATATATATATATATATATATATATATATATATATATATAGAGAGAGAGAGAGAGAGAGAGAGAGTGAAAGGCATGAGTTCATTCACTGATCTCACAAGGTGGTAATATACACTTGAAAAAAAATTTATACTAAAACAATTAAAAGAACAAACAAACACTAACAACTAAATAGAAAATGAAAAAAAATGTTTAACTGCACGAGTTGAAGATTAATAAACGATTTAAAAGAGAGTAAACATTATTAAGAGTTTGCAATGACAACAATAGTTATGATTATGATGAGTATTTTAGAAACTTCATGAGAATTCGGATATTGTATGTAGAGTTTGATTTTCGGTATAATTTTGATGATACTTTAATAAAAATATTAAAGATTAATTTGTACACGAATAGATATCTATTGACATTGATTACAACAGTGTAATTAGCAATCAATTCAGCTAGAGAAAAATTGTATTTATTCTACGACTAAGTATTATAGATTATTTTCATCATAGAGTCAGACATTAACACCGTTGAATGTCGGCTCAGTCGTCTAGAGGTTAAGCGTCAGCGCCTGAGACCGAAAAGCCTGGGTTTAATTCCAGAGAGCACTGGTCGTGGATGCGCACTGCTGATGAATGCTCAAACTAGGATAAGGCAAGAGTCCAGTGCTTCTACGGTTTCTAATGCTGGTCTGTCTAACAATGATCAATTCATGATTTCTATGTTACATATTAGTTTAAAATTATTAGTAATATTTTTATGTATTACTATAAATTTCGTTACTGTAAAAATTTTCATCATTCATTCTATAATATTGCAAACAAAATTCTCTTTGATGTAAAACAACGGAACTGTAATTATACAAAATTATATTTTTCAATATGTTATTATAATTATACGTTTTTGGTATTTAGCTAAGGAAAACGAAAGTTTTGTTTTAAATACTAAAATGAGATCTTTCAACTATAAGATGAAATTCAATAAATGTTCATCTCTCTTTTGGTTTTCATAGGGTTGATAAGAAGCATATGTCAAGATATTTGAGATTTTCAGTATTTATCATTGCAATAAGTTGTAAGTCATTCATAATACCATTTGAGTACACTATGCCCAGTGTTAATGCATAACTACTAGATTCAAACAAATGATCAAAAATAGTAAGGTTGATTAAATTAGGTGATGTAAACGTTTTTGTTGGGCAAGATGTTAAGATCAAATGAATAGTTGTTAGAATTATTCAATTCAAGGCTGTGAGGTTATCTGTTACTGTTTGCAAGTTTTTGTGAGTGCTTCAGATTAGTGTAATTTCATTATCAGAGATTTCATTACATAGATTCTAATTTGTTTATCATCCTTTATTGTTGGTTGGACTATGGCTAAATTAACATGTTCATAACAGATAATTATGAATAATTTCAAACGTTTACATGTGAATAGTATATTTCAATATACAGTACTAACTCATTAAATGAATAGGAAAATAACCTTAAAAACGTTAGATATAACGTATTATATGAATATCAAACATAAGTGATATATAATGGCAGTTATTCAATATAATAAGTTATCAGTTCAAAACATTAACTTTATAATACAATAAATTGCTACTTTATAAGTACAATAATGATAATAATTCATTAGTATACACAAGACGATCATCGTATAATGATGATTGTTCCATATAGATAGATCAAAAAATTCTTTAGGGTCAATTTAAGCTGTTTATTGATTTAAGATTGATGTTAATAAGATAGAAGGCAGCTATGAAAAGAAAAACCCATTGAAACATACAGATGCAACAGCTGCATCATTTAACATCGATTGATCATTCGTCTGTTTTTTCCGCTAATCATTACTTACCTATGATAACAGACAAGTGTAAATTGAAGATATGGAATTAAATTATTCATTAGTGAGTTTAATCAATATCCTATGGATTTTTCATCTAGATAGAAGGATAAAGATTGATATCAAAATAAAACCTAATCGTTCACATGGATTCACATAACTAGTCGTCTATATGATATTACAAGTAAACAAATATTAGTCAATTTGCAGATTAAAAGGATAAATGTTTGTAGTCATTTGCACTAACAACATAAAATCAAACAGTAAACGTAAGAATACGATATGAAAAATGAAGATAGATTCGTTAGTTCATAATGCAAAATGTAAAAACAAATACTAATCATTGGTGGTGGTAGTCTATGATTACTATGAAAAATAAAACAAACAATGTGAGATTGTAAAGTGAATGAAAAATGCAAGTTAATCATTTTACTAGTATACAAATAGATATTCACAACAAATCATACTTTAACTGATTATAATGAAAAATCACTCGTAACTAATCATTAAAGAATATAACTTAGTAAACTGATTTCAACTGATCAGTCGAAGACATAATATTTTAGATAAGAATTAAACAGGTGAATGATTTTATGAAGTCTAACTCTAATATATTGTCGTTCAATGTTAAATGCAATTGTGTTTTATTCATTGATGATACCATTTGACACAATAAAATAATTTTAATAAAATATTAAGCATTTCTTCCAAAACTGAAACTAATTCAAATTATTAATGGTAGACGATAAGTACGTCACATTCGAAATGACAAAACAATGACCAGATGGATATACGAAATAGTTATTTTTGTAAAATAAGATTAGAAACTAGTACTTCTTTGAATTAACACTGTCTACCTGTTCGAGTAGCGAGTGTACTTTTCATTTTTTGATATAAATACATAAAATCTATCCCCTATTCCTACAGATTAACAATAAGATCAAAGTGAAATAAAAATCACATCATACATAGTAAAAGTAATATTAAATAAACTTACCGAAAATAATTAAACATTTCATCAAATGAATAATAGTCCAAATCAGTAAAATTTTATGGTCTGAGAAGAAAAATTAATCCATCAGAGTAGAAATTGTTAACTGTCATGATCTATGTCAGTTTGTCTATATCGACAAAATGATGTACACACGTATATATGTTTATGGGCTGTTTTAATCTGCCTCTAAGCTGGTTACCATACAAATGCCTCAAAAGAGCAGGTCAACTTTAGGTGACAGGCTAAGCCGCCCCTGATATGAGAGCCAGTTCACACAGGTGATTGTAAGACAGACAGGTACATATTAACAGCAATATGCGGGCTAGCCAAAGAGAGATGGCCTGAACTCTGACTCCTATTTGTCGTAACAACCGCAAACAGGCCAGTCTAGTGTCAAGTTAGACCTTAGTGTGGGGGCGTGATGGTCGTTAGATTACGCTCTAACATGTCAGCTAGGTAGGTTGTGCAAATATATCACAACACCCCTACTTGACTAGACAGACATATAACACATGGACTTCTTGATGGCCTTTAGCATAAATAAGTTAGGGCTATAATGGCCTCAATTAACAGTTCACAAAGTTCAGTTAATATAATTCGATGTGTAATTGGCTATAGGATGGACCATTAGAATCAGGGGAGGGGGTGGAGTCAAGGCCATTTCAGAAAAGACATTAAGACATCTTAACGATTCCTGAAATAATCACACTTGATTATGGGTGATTTATGGGTGATACAGATTTTTTGTTAGTCTATCCTGTCGTTACGATACTCAAAAGGACATTTCTTCAGTTGTATGTTTACATAGGGTGGTGACTACTCTTCTTTTTATGATAAAGCTATACGATTTCGTTAGGCAATTCACGACTTTTCCATATATTTTATTGGTCAATATAAAGGTTAAATAATTTTGACATTTTATACCAAAACTTATTTACGATCTTTGACAGCTAGGAATTTTCTGACTAATTTTTTGATTGTTGATTCAATAATTAATAATCTATATGACGTAGTGTATGAATATTTCATTTACATCAGACAAATAATGAATAGATTCTCAAACGTATTACTGTTTTATTGAATAGGAAATGAACATAGAATTTGTGGACTCCCGATGACTGGCATATAATCAATGGCCTGTGTTTGTTTAACATGTGTACAATTGACAGATTAGCTCGAAAAATTCATCACTAATGTTATGCTTTTGGTAGATGGGAATTCGCAGCACTAGTTGAGCTAATTCTGTGTAGTATTAAGCCTTCAAACGCTTTTGATACTTTTTAAAAAACTATTAGCAAAATATTAAACGTGATGAATGAGACAACTCGATTGAAAAATAGGAAGATAGGTTTTATCAAGAAGTGAAATCAACTTAATAACTAGAGAGCGCTCAACATCTTTTTTGTCTTAATTTGTGACTAGTCAGTCATGGGTGTCTATGGGTTTCATGAAATCGGACTCACGACCTTTGAGTCTCTCAGAAAGTACGGTACCTTTATTCACCAGGTTTATGAACCAGTAGTCTATGTTTCGAACTTCATGAAAGAGTGACAGTCATCCGTTGTCATTTATAGCTTGCTTGGTCATAATCAAGCAATACCAGAGAATTGGAGCTATGCCAGTGAAAAGTCTATGATTTATAATTGTACATTCTGAATGTTCGAATCTATAACTTGACACT